CCTGGATTTCTGGAAAACATCCCTTAATTATTATTTCCTTGAGGATATATACATGTTAACGTCGAAATGAGCCAGCAGTGTCTAGCTAAGACCAGAGCCAGTTTTACCTGACCCCTGGATAATTTTCTCTCCTCCATTCACACAGCGTGCAGTCTGGCCAAACTTAAATATTTTTATTTTTTCCTTGGTTTCAGACTTCCTTGACTCTCTTCCACTGAAATGACAGGGACTAAAAAAATAGTGACTGGATGGAGCGCATATGTTTCAACTTAAAATATGAGAAAAATTATTCACTATTTTTACATAAAAGTGCTTTCAAAATGAATCATAAGCTATGGAGTATTTAAAACCAATGTAACTTCAGATCATAGACTGCCACTTGGACCTTTTTACATTCCCAAGTCATCTGTACAACATGGCTTGCGATTAGAAGTGTAGTGTCGGCTGACTGCAAAAATCATTGCAAAAATCATTTAAGTACAAATAATTGGCATAACAATCTACAACAGAAAAACTGCAACTTTTTTGTACAATTTTCAAAATAATATTTGTCCTTTTTCCAATTTCGCATTATCTGATAAAGTCAACTTTACAATAGCATACACTAAAATAAGTACACAATAGCAACAGAATTCTGTTAAGCAGGGATGTAAAACATCACTTGCTTTGTCCTTGAACGCAAGGCCACGAAATTACAAAATTATCATCATCATACCATAAAAAAGTGAAGTAACTTTAACACAAATAATAGAAATTGTGAAAAAAAAGTGACAGCTGTTGCTTCATTACAATCTTTCTAGCCTTTTAGTTTTTGCATCTCTTTTAACTATAAGCCAACTCCTCTTTTGCATGTCTCATCAAGTTAAGACAGCATACTAGATCAATGAGAACAAAGAATTCAGTAATAAAATAAAATAAAATAAATTGCACCTTTTCCCAGAGGTTAGGCTGAAGAGCCATCCCCATAACTGGTAATTCCAAAGTTATCAGTGTTTAGGTTCTCTGCACATCATCTAACTAAATAATGATAACCATATGCTGTGAAGTTAGTTCTGGCTTAAGGAGGCCTTTTTCAAGTTTTTTCTAGGTAAAGCGTATTCAGAAGTGGTTTACCATTCTCTTCTTCTAGGGCACTAATGGCAAACCTATGGCATGCGTGCCATAGCTGGAACACAGAGCCCTCTCTGTGGGCACAAAAGTCACCAGATGGCTACCCCTGGCAGCCAAACCTGAGGAGGAGGCTGCAGCTGCAGTGGTAGCACCCGACAGGAGGTGGGCCAGGGTCTGGAGCAACTGGCGCTGGTGGGGGTTGGATCTGACTGGAGATGGATCCAGAGTGTGGTCTGGAGGCACCTCTGTGACTGGGATTTCCCCTTCCGCTTCTGCCAGATCCAGAGTGGGGTCTGGAGGCACCTCTGCGACCGGGATTTCCCCTTCCGCTTCTGCCGCCACCCTGGTCTGCCACCCACTGGGTTGTTTCCCCTACCCCGTTTGGGCACTCAGGCTCAAAAAGGTTAGCCATCACTGTTCTAGGGGATTCCTCAGACCATGCAGCTTGCTCAAGACCACATAGGCTGGCTCTCCTGGGATGCATAATAAGGAATTAAACTTCTGCAGCCATATACCTAACTCACTGAACTCAGCTAACGATCTGATTAAAAAGTCGTATATACTTTTATATACATTTACCATTTTAGCAACTAACCAATAATTCTTGCAGATATTCTTCAACTTGTCCATTTTATTGCTGGTTTACTTTCTACTACAGTTAAAACGTTCAGGGACAATTCCAGTTCTTTTAAGCATTTGCTTTACCATCATTACTAGCTTCATACATTCCATTGTATATGTCCATATTGTACAATGCTCCTCCTCCTCCTGGACCAAGAGGCTTAGAGACCAAACATCTAAAAATAAGTAGCATCTGCCATATTTGTCCAGGCTTTTAAATCACTGTATTTGACTCTAGTTTCATAACTAGATGTGTCATCTGTGGTTTTATTGTATGGGTGTTTAATGTTCTGTGTTGGTTTAATAGTTTTTATTATCACATTTTTATGTAGAAATCATTTTAAAAAAAATTCAAGCTGTATGTAGCATGGTGGCTGAAAGACTAAGCTACAAACCAGAAAGCTCCTTATTTCAGTCTTGCCTTTCTCATGACCTCACTGCATGATCCTAGGCAAGCCATGGTCTCAGCTTCTCATTCTATATCAAATTTGGCTTAAAAATACTGATACCTTAAAAGATCGTTGCCACACTGGCTGGAATCTACTTGTGATTTATACTTGCATAAGAGAAATCATGTAAGTCATAACAGTAAATGGCTGCTCACAAACAAGGTGCTGGTTGTGTTCCTCAGCCGTTGTCTAAGAGGCACTTTGGGATGCCCTAAAGCAATAATAAATGCTGACCTGCAATACAAATTGCAGCACAATTTGCCATACAAATACTAAATTACATATGAAATCATGAATGGAAAGTAAACCGTGACTGAATAAAAACAGCCATGTAGCAAGTTTTAAATTTGGGGAATTCTGCCCATTTCATAAATACTAAAATCCAGTGAACCAAATGTCCATAGATGGGTTGATGTAGTAATTTGCAGCTGTTGGAGTGCCATCCCAGTTACTAGCTTGTTATATTTCTGTGAAGCCTGCTTATCAAGAACTAGCTAAGGATGTCTTCATAATTCAACTCCTAAGACACACCAATGCCTGACTCAACATTGCATTTCAACAAACAACAGACGTCAGAAATTCTCTAAGGTGGAATCCTGACAGTTAATGTGACATCAAACTGTAGTAACTATGAATGGTTGATACAGTCTAAATAACTGTAGCTGCCATGCAGAACTTTCACCTTACTGTACATTCTACACAAGTTTCCATGGAAGTGGTTTCCCACAGGAAGCATCATCTCCTTTCCTGGTGACCAGCTATCTATATAGGGCCAGTTCTATCCAATGGCTTTGTGCTCAAGGTGACTATTAATGTTTCAATTCTGCCTATGTTTTTTAATGAATGCAGCCTATTTATTATAAGTTGTTGAACCAAACCAAATGGCTTTAACTAGGTACTGGCAACCACTGGAAGTCTCAGAGCACTGATGTAGTAATCTGACTATTATGGTATTAATTTTAGAAGCTTCAACTATTTTTATTTCTGATACATTTCACTTTCTGCCCAGCCTTTTACTGCTTTAAATATCAACAATTTTTCATACCTACAAATATAGTAGGAATTGTATTTGTCTATTAAAATGTGTTCATGTACAAGATGCATCAAAAATTAAATGAACGTAGAAAAACAGCTTACAAAAAAACTGCATGTAAAGATTTTTCAAAGAAAAGACAACACAAGGCCTTTCCTTAATGACAATTCTGGCAAGGAGGTTCAGTATTTCATGAACATAAGTTCCCCATTCAGTATGATTTCTTATAGTTTGCAAATGCACATGAAAAACATAGTATACAATAAATGCATTGAAGCCTTAGCACTTTCTAAGGCCCCCATGATTGCAACACATAAGAAGGCATGTAAGAACCACCCCCACCTTACATTTTGATCATACAAATGGCCAAGCAACGCCCTGACTGAAAACCCTCTGAGCAGCAATATAACTTATTATCTTGGATGGAGTCAGACTACGGGTCCATGCAGATCTTTATAATCTACACTGACTAGCAGTGATTATTTACAATTTTAGCCAAGGTCATTCCATGTAAGGTGGGGGACAATTATTTGAAACCCTGTAGAGATTTCATTCACTATTAATTGGGTTGGATATCAAGATGTTGGCTTCTCAGTTTTAGGATATTAGTCGATGGTTCAGGGTTCAGATTCCCATCTTGAGATCAGTAGGGGAAGGTGTTAGGGGCCAAAGAAAGCAGCAAGATTATACTTAGCTTATACTTAGCTTTCACCTATATTCTATCACGCATCTTCTGGCATGGTTTTTTTTTCAGTTTTCTGTGAGGAAAAACACTAGGAGACAGACCTCAAGACAGGTATAGCACGTATAGGCTGAAAACGTAAGAAAGTCAACCGTGAAGGGGATTTAAAAGAGGAAACTCAGATCTTTCTTTTTTTAAAAATGGAGAGAAAATCAGGCCCCTTCCACCCCCTGCGCTCCATCTGGTCCCAGTATTGAACTCTCAGAATCTACTCCGTGAGTCTCGGGACTCCTGGGGATTTGGCAAGCCTAATTTCAAGTGCCAAAGGCATGGAATTGGTTCTCTCCAAAATATCCTCATAAAGCATAATTACCTTTCTTTGGCTTACGGATCTGACTATTTAATTTATAGGGCTCTTACTAACAAATGACTACATAAGAATTCTGCATAACAAGGAAAGAAACTCTAAGTTTTTTTGGATTTGTTTCCTACTATAGAAATGTTGCATCATATTAATGTTCCCTTTTTTGGAAATATACACCAGAAGTTCAAATTACTTCTATTACTGCAGACATAATTGTTCATTAATTTCTTAATATGTGTTTTTGTGAAAATACAATATTTAAATGTTCACTGGCCATTAAAAGAAATGTAGCATTGACCCTTCACTTAAACTGTAGGGGGGGAAAGAATTAAATATATGTTATTATGTACTGAGGTAAACATGAATCAGAACTTAGCTGAGTTTCAAAATACATACATTTTAGTATTTAGGTTACTAGTAGTGTCTTGAAATCATCAGTGAAAGATACAATTTTCTATTTAGCACTATTTGAGTTGATCACATTTCTGTTCAAGCTGCTAAGTGTTATTTAATAGATTCATTTGCTCTCCCAGTAGAGTACCTCTGGAGCCTGTTTAATATGTTTAAACTCTAATTTTGCCAAGTATACTGTTCTCATCAAGAACTCAAAAGTGTGGTGCATTCCCCCCAGAGTGCCAGCAGAGCAGTAATGAACTCTAATGGCCATACAATAAATGTTTATCACCTAGCAGTCATTCATAACAATATGTTTTTCCATGTGTCTCTCTCTGTGGTGTTTACCTCTGTGGTTGGTGAGATCCCTTGATCCAGATGGCAATGGTGTATAGTGTATCTGAGGAGAAATGGGGGAACCATCAGCGGAGACCTGCAAGAACAGTAGGTAAAATAATATGGCATTAATGTGTGCATCTTGCTAAAATGTTCATATAGATGCTACAGGGCAAAGCATGCCGTCACATACAAAATTACATCTATAATCCCAATGCTGCAAAATATTGAGAACTGTTTTTGGATCTAAGTATATTTTTCAAGTGATCCATATGGTGAACAAACTCCATTCAGTTTCATTTTGCAACAGTCCTCTTCTCATGCTCATTTTTGGTTCAGGTGGTCTTTTCTTCTTAGGTATCCAATATTTTTCTCTACTTGTTCATCTCATCTCTCTGCCCTTGACACTCTAGGGCAGGGGTCTCCAAACTTTTGACCATGAGGGCCACACCGGATATTTTAATTGCTGAGAGAAAACGGGGTATCTATATTTGGATGGTGAAAGTTGTGTATATTTTAACTTTTTTTGTAGTGTTGTCCAGTTTTACCTTGGGGAAGAGCACCTCATTTCGTTGCACCCACTTGTGAGCGCAATGACAAATAAATTTCTTATGTCTTATGTCTTATGTCTTAAACATCTTTGAGGGCCGAAGGAACAGGAATGTGTGCATGCATGCACATGTGTGCGTATGTGTTTACGTATGCATGTGCACATGGGTGCGCATATGCATGCAGCCCCACTCACCTCGCCTGAACGCCCACCCACCCCAACATGCATGCAAGAATGCATGCACACACACACACACACCTGCCCACCTGCCTTCCCCCCCCCCAGCGCATGGGCTGAAGGGAATAGGCCAGATAAAATGGCAAGGTAGGCTGGATGTGGCTTGTGGACCGTAGTTTGGAGACCCCTGCTCTAGGGAATGTTCTCATATATTATCATGCAGACACCCAAAGACTGGCTTCAACTACATTATAAGTTCAGAATGTTTGAACTTCACTCCCAAGAGTGACAGGTTCAAACACAGCCCTTGTTTCCATAACTAGATGGCAACATTTTAGACTGCAGTTGGGTATTAAAGGATGGAATATTCCAACAAATCCATACAAACATTTTGCTCTTAATTAGCATTCTGTTTTCTTTTTCATCACTAATGTATCCAAGTACAGGCCTTTGGTGTATGTTTTGAAACTCACTTCCAAGAGTGACAGGTTCAAACACAGCCCTTGTTTCCATATCTAGATGGCAACATTTTAGACTGGAGTTGGGTATTAATGGATGGAATATTCCAACAAATCCACACAAACGGTTTGCTCTTAATTAGCATTCGTTTTCTTTTTTATTACTAATGTATCCAAGCACAGGCCTTTGGTGTATGTTTTAAAATTCGCTGATCATGGTCCTCCTACAGGTTCAAACACAGCCCTTGTTTCCATATCTAGATGGCAACATTTTAGACTGGAGTTGGGTATTAATGGATGGAATATTCCAACAAATCCACACAAACGGTTTGCTCTTAATTAGCATTCGTTTTCTTTTTTATTACTAATGTATCCAAGCACAGGCCTTTGGTGTATGTTTTAAAATTCGCTGATCATGGTCCTCCTATCCCATTCACATGCATGCAAGAAATGTGAAAAGGCATAGTCGGACAATCTGCTCATCAGCTTTAGGAAAGACTGCATAAAACATCTTGATCTGGCAAACATTACTGTATCTAATATATGAGCACATCCTGCCTCACATAACCTTACAACATTATTTAGAGATACTTCCGTCTATTCTAGCTGGCATATTGACCACTGGATTTGGCCCCACTGCCTTGTAGACAAGATTAATTGTTCTCAAAATATAGAATACGTGTACTATGCTAAGTAAAATTAACTGTAAAGGCAAAATTACTTTGTAACAATAAATATTCTTGGTTACCAAATTTACTTAACTGTCCCCCAACTGGAATCCCAAATCATCCTTGTAATAATAGCAGGACTAAATTAAATTGTTGTTTTTAAAAGCCACAGATACATCAAATTATTTTTCTCCAGCTAACAGAGGAATTGTATATCCTACTGTATTTACCAAGAGACCCAAAATATATTATTCACCAGAGTTAATTTTTAAAGTCAAAGATGGGTTTTGTTCATAAATCTGTATCATTCGAATATATATTATTTAAAAAGATGTTTTAATATTATACCAACTGTTTTTGGTGTATTTTCAGAGCACAGCTTGAAGAGGAGCATTAAGCAACGAATCCCAGGTAACAAGGCACAAAAAGATAATTACACCATTGATCATTGAGCCCATCCTTATCGGCAATGAGGAAACAACATTTTAAAAAAGAAAAAGAAAAACTATTCTACTATAAAAGCAATGTTTCGCTTATTCTATACATTATGGTCTAAAACTGAACATAAGGAACTGCAGTGATAAATGGGTGGAGCCCGGAGGGTTTCTTCCAGAATTCAAATATGCATAGGACCAATAGTACAGCGGACGTTGATTGCTCTGGTCAGCTAGTTAAGTATGTGAATACAGAGCAAACATGCTCTCCTCTACTCCTTTTTTCCTACCAAACACTGATCGATACATTTGCCAATATTCTGAGAGGGTTATGATCACTCCGGCATCAGAATAATTCTTGCTTCCGTAGTGTGAAAAAGAAATTCAAATTCATTCAGCATGTCAGCTTGAAAAAGCCCGTCGGTCTACATCCAGAGGACGCTCCCACCCTGTGCCTCCTGCTCTCTGAGGTTGGCTGGTTGGCGAGCTGGTTTTGCTTTTGCATTACTGTTTCTAATGTACTTTTCTGTCAGAATATAGAAATTTTATAGGCCTGAACATGTATAAGTGTTTCATTAACGAGCTGCCATTGTGCACAGAAGTGAGAATGCTGAATCACTCTGGAGATGATGCAGTGTCTTGAAACCAGAAGAAGACCAGGTGCAAAGGATGAAGTCATCTGTCTTCTGATTGGACAAAATATGCCATGTACATGTATATAAGTGGACTGTGTCTTTGTGTCTTTCTCTTCCTCTTCCACCACTTGCTGCCATGCATTATGTCCGTTTGTATAAAGAGTTCCTGCCATGCTGTTGAGATGCCTGCCTGTAAATAACTGTAAATACTTGTAAATACAACCGTCTTGCAACAAAGAAGAACTTGTAAGTGTCTTCAATAACTCTGCGTATTTCTACTGTCGCCAAATTCCTGACATTTTCTTATTATACTTGAATTACTAGTTTCATTTTATTGCAGTGGTATCCTATTTATTGAAACTGTGGTGTACTTTTAACTCACAAAGATGAAGATGATCAAACAATAGCATTATTAAGTCATTGAAATCAACTCACTTTAAAAAGAACTATCTGGGTTGTGATTAGTCATAGCAGTAACCAGTTCTTCAATACATTGTGCTAGTGTGATATGTTTGCACTCACAGGAGATGTACCATCCAGTCTTTGCCAGTCCTCATTCTGTGACACTTAGGGACTGAAAAAAAAAACCTCAGCTTATTCCTGACTTTAACCAAGACAGGTCATCTTAGCATGGCAAGACAAACTATCAAGGATTCACTAATCTCTGCAGGAGATCTCACCTCAATGGTAAAGACGAGAAAGCAGACACTCCTTATTTCTTCATGTTTTGTGCATTTTGCACAAAAACACCTCAGCATGGAACTCATGCCTTTCCTTTTGTTTTACCAATTGTGGTGCAGAAGCTATCTGAAGCTCCAAGCTTGCTGCCCTTTCAAGAGGTACATAAAAATTAGAGGCAGCCAGAGCAAGGGTTTTGGAACAAAGTCACTGCCTTGACAAAATTGGATGACAAAAATAAAAGGCTTATTTGTGTGCAAATTAAGCAAAATTGTATACATGATGTTTAACACAAATAACAACTTAAAGCAAATAACACAAATCACAGTTAATGATGATGGCTTCTTTGTTTCAGAATCACGAGAAGGGTGTTTACAACTGTAATAGTAAACAGACAGTCATTCTGTGGTTGTTGTGTATCTGCTTTGTTTTTCAAGGAGAAGAACACTGATTTTGTGCACAGATTTTGCACAAATTATGGAAATCTTAACAAAAAATAATATTGATCTGCCTTTTATCCTCCCCTGAAGGGCTCTCATGGACCTTGAAAATTTCTCACTGAATTTTCATCAGGTTGAGACAGGCTAAACCAGTGGTTCCGAGCCTTGGGCAACCCAGGTGTTCTTGGACTGCAATTCCCAGGAGCCTTTGCCACCAGCTGTGCTGACTCGGGTTTCTGGGAGTTACAGTCTAAGAAGACCTGGATTATCCAAGGTTGGGAACCATGGATTAAACTAACAAGAATGAAGAATTTAGCAAGTATTTTCTACACAAAAGACACAAAACAATCAGTGACTGATCAATAATGACATAAGAGGCTCATCCAAAACTACTATATTTGCTAATTTGTGCAAAAAACGTAACACTAATTGCAGCTACTGATGGTGCAGTTTTCAACAGTGCACGGAAAACTGTTCCATGAAAGTCAACATTTCTTTGAGATTCATCAAGAAGACACTTGTTTGCCACATACAGATGAATCAGGATTTATATTGCTAGAAGCATTCTGTCTTGTACAGTAGGACCCCCATATCCACTGGGGATTTGTTCCATAGCCTCCACAGATAACCATAGATAATAGTTTTAGTGGTCCCCCTGTCATGCATATTCAGCAGTGCATTTGCATGAATCAATAAGGAGCTGTTGAGAGGCAGAGCCAGCTATATAAAAGGGGAGGCTGAAGCAGATAGAGAAGACGTAGGGAGGGGTTAGAGAAGGGATAGATAGGAGAGAGAGGTTTGAAGAGAGGGTTTGGGTTTTGAGGCAGAGAGAGTTTAGGGAGGGAACAGTCAGAATGTTATTTATATTAGTTAAGTACAGAAGAGGTTAAAGAAAAATACTGAACACTTTGTGTAACTTTAAGAATGTGTTTAAGAACTATTCCTGAAACAACTTGTAACCAATAAACCTGTTCTTATTTCAAAGTTAAGCACTGAATGGTCCTCAGTCTTTCACAGGAAACATAGCTGGTAAAGAGATCAACTGGTGGTAGCATGT